ATGTGCTTTATAGTAGTTCATGATTATTACATTAACACAACCCATAAAAGATAACTTACTACTAAATTTTAATTTTTACAGAGTTGATTCAATATCTCAATGGAAATGAAAAGTATTCACCCAACTGTATAAAGAATCAAGGTTCTTGGGGTGTTCAATCCTATCACGTGATCAGTCAGGTAGAGCTTGACACTGGTTATTAATATCACAGCGGGGTACCTGACAACCACATTCTTTATTAAGTTTGCCTTATTTAATGATGCAGGAATACAGAAAGGATTTACATTATTTCCTGGACAAGTAGATATACATTTTTATTTTTATGTTTATCTCCTAACTAGTTTTGAATATCAATAAAATTCTCGTTCACCAAAAGAGGAAAATAAATGTCTACTATCAAGGCCTAGGTAAGAATGTAAATACAACTAAACATGACTAAAGGACACAAAATGATAAGGATCATACATGCCCACTCTGGGGCCCAACAGTTGGCGAGTTGTGGAGATTCCATGTACAAAAATAAAAACGATTTTCGAATTTTTTCTTAAAACATTGTTCTAGCCAAGAAACTTTCAAAAGTTATCACTTTGCCCAATTAGTTCCAAATTGCCAAATCAATAATGTATAATCAGAACAATTTGATTCATCTATATCATCTCAGTTCAACTTCCAACTCAAGACAAGTAACCAGGAGGCTGAGAAATTACTGTAATTTCTTGACTGCTTGGATGCCAAAAAAAGAAAACAAGTAGCAAGAGTTAGTTATTGACATCCCTATTAAAACATAAAAAAGACTACTTAGGGGCATATATGCAACATTCAGATTTCATAGCTGAGACCTAATTTTGTGTACATGGCCAAGTATTTTATAAAGTCCTGATTCATGTTTAATATCATCAAATTAACAATTAACAAAACTAGTAAAACCAAAGAATACCAAGATGATTTAATTGCATTGTATCTGAAGTTTTACAGAAATATAAAATGAAACCTCTTTCTAACTTTTTTCTAACTTTTGCAATGGAGCAGAGATAAAATATACTTGTAATAGCATATATTATTTCAAATTTCTATTGCAATTTATTTTATAAAAACAATGACTTGTGGCATATCACACTCCATGCAATAATAAGTGGTTTCTAATGATCAAAAAATACACTGGAAGATGAACATCAAGAAGTCATTACTACCATAAAAATCTTTTACCACAAGGAGGCTTTAAAATGTGAAACAAATCACACGTACGATTTCTAAAAAGACCTGCTGTCAGAGCCATCAGTCTACCGGATCTTGAACTGCAGTCACAGCCCTTTGCGGACTTTACATAATATGACAGTAATTTACAGTTATAAACACATCAAAACAAACAAACAGCAGAGCAAATTAGCATTTGTTAAGTACTAACCTGTGTTTGGGATCAAAATGATATAATTTCAAATTCTCGTGGTAAAAATATGAGATAAAATTCTATTAACACTATCACCATTTACTAAGCACACCTTCCACTCCTACCTAACAAAAAACTTTTTAGAAGACAGAAATTACATATAAAATATCAGACATTTGAGATGTTTCTATACTATTTCTTAGTTTCTATACTATTTCTTATTTTCAAAACAAGCCAAATTATATGTGACGAGTGTACTTATCTGATCAGTGTCATACAATGAATGCTCTGTGCATGCACGTGTTAACGCAAAAGGAAAGAAATTCTTCAACAGATTCCGAGTCTCCCAAATATGGTGTATGTGACTAACAGCTGAGAGGAAATGCAACTGAAGCTGTCTGCTGGAAATCCACTAAAATCCGGGCACAGAAAAATGCCTGGGTGACAATGTAGCTGGATGTGCAAATTTGTGCAGAAATGGAGCCAAATTTTTGGCAGTTCCCTCATGGTTTGAGATTTATTGACAATGGCCTTTCTTTTTCGGTTGTAATGTTACCTTTAAAGACCACTATTTGAGTTGGAAGACCTGCCTGTTCTTTAAAACAAATGGGCTTAAAGCTTGGATTTACAAAGGCATGGCATTTCAAATACTACAAACAAAAATTTGTACAAAAAATTACATGTCCACAAAAACTGCCATATGCAGCCAAAAAAAAAAAAAAATCAGTACCTTAGAAAAAAATAAGCATGCTACTTTGCATTTCATTCCACATTTTCCTTTAAATATATTATTTTTTAAATGGTTCGCAAAAGTATTTTTTTAGGGTCATTATATTCTGAGAAGGAAGTGTTTTTAAAGGAGAATTCATATCTTAAAGTGTGTGCTCTTAATACACTACAGATTTTTTTACATCAAGTATTTGTTGGTTCCTAGGAATAAACTAGATATCTAACTCCTTTACAAACCACTGAATAGCCACACTTAATCCCAGTCACTCTGCACTGAGCCCCTCCCGTGGTCCTTAACGCTGTGGAATGTCATATTAAAAATGAAAGCATAGTCTTTTTCCTTTAAGACTTTATAATATACTATGGGTATAGGTTAAACAAACAAATACATTCAAGGGTACAAATATTCTATAACCGGCTCTAATTGATGTGACGATATAAAATAAATTGAGCATTTTGAAGAAAAAGTACTGTAATACTTTACAGGTGAGCAGTAATAATAGGTAAAACTGACATAGCACTTTGCAATTTAAAAAGTAATTCTCATAAAATTTCACTGAATCCTCCAAACAACCTATAATACTCTATGAGTAATTTTTTTTCCCATTTTATTGAAGAACCAACTGAGACCAAGAAAAGGTAAGTGACTGAACCAAATTTACACAATAAGTAATAGAGCCAAGATTCAAATTGGGTTCTCACAGGTAAATCAAGGCTCCCACTGGATTTATAATTTCAAAGTTCTTTCATATAAAGTAATCTTATCTGATCCTTACAACAGCCAAAGAGGTAATAATAGCAGCTAATATCACTGAATGTGTATTATGTAGCAGGCACTGCTATATACTATATTAATTCATCCACTCCTCATAACACCCTATAAAAGGAAGGATTACAGTATTAACGCGGATTTTACAGATAAGAAGACAGGCTCATGGAAATATGTACACTGCCCACGATCACACAGCTAAAGGGTAGGGAATCAGAATTTAAACCCAGGGCACCTAGTTCCAACACCTACTTCTTCATCACTTCATTCTTAACATAAAAGCACATTAAGAAACTTGCCCAAAGTCACAAGGAAAGAAAACTACAGAGGGAGAACAAGAGCAGGGCTTCTAGTTCGTCACCCTAACTACTTTTCTTCAGCGTAACTGGAATCATTAGAATCATGAAATCCAGAAGGGGCCAGGGGCCTCTGGGTGTAGATTGTTCTTTAAAGCAGAGTATGAGCAGATGAGGAACACAGGCCAAGCAGCAGGGAGAGGGAATTCCTTCAGGCTAGAGAAGACATATCTTCCATAGATCGGAGGCAGAAGAAAGTCAAATAAAAACTATGTGAGTAGAGACAAGTGTATTTACCAGTCCGATGCAGGGAGTATGAATTAAGGTGGATGAAAAGGGCTGACTAAGACCAAGGAAATTAGTAAAAGTGAAGCACAAGACTGATTTGTCTTGAGAGAAAATTTGCAGCCACCAAAAGATTCAGGATAGGTTCTGTAACGCCTCGGAAGAAGTGATACCCCACTCTTGCCAAAAGTACCTAGCACACAGGAAGAAGTCCTACAAGCACTCAAAGAATTTGGCTACACACTTTCATTTTTCTTTTTTTTTTTTAACACTAAAATGTCACTTACAGTTTAGCAACTCCTTTTCGCCGTTAAAAACCTTCCTGTGTAGTAGAGGGAAGAGGAACATAATCCAGTATATCTAGCTTCCCATTAGTTCCCATGCCATGAATCGATGGTGCTGGTTACTTTAGCATATACATCTTCCTCAGAATCACAGTAAAATCGGATGAAGGAAATCACAACAAAACCCCATTCAAACAAATAAACTGAAATGCAAACCTAAACCTAACGTACTTGTTAAAAGTAGAATTTGCAACAAATGGGAAAAAAATCACAGCAGAAACCAAACACAATGACCCCAGGATACCAGGAAGCAGCACATTTTAGAAGACAAATTAAATGAGGAAAACTAATCCTAATGGAATTTCTCCTCTCATTAGTTAAAATAAACCAGGTCACTGAAATGGGCTTACACTATGGCATTTTGTTCATTTTAATTGCATTTTTATTTCATCAAACCATAAATTCCCATGGAAATACCTCAGCCACGTGCTCATGATAATTGAAATGCCTAACATTTCAGTATAAGTACTTTTGCACGAGTTCCACAAAATACAAAGAATGCAGTGAGGGCCCTCCAAGTTTTTTGCTTATGTCAACAGCTATTTTATGAGTATGAATTATCTTCGTGGTTATAAAGCATGTGTAAAATACATTACACGAGTCTGTGAGAAGCCTTACTGCAGAAGACCAAGTAAACGTCTGAACTGCACACAGAAAACAGCAAAATCGAGCTGAACTTCCTAGAATATAGCAATCATAAGACTTTCCTCCCAAAGCCATTACTGTTAAATATACCTTGATGAATTAAGTTCAAGTGTAACTACAATTGAAATATATGATTCAACTGAGCTATGACCTATTTTTCCTCTCAAAAGCAAAAGGGAATAATGACAGTGGTGAGACTTACATTTTTCCATTCCAGGGTTTTTCTGCAAGTTATTTCACAGTACAGCTAAAGGCAAAATGCACTTAGTGACATTTATTTGCTTTAAAATATAGTTAGTTATGCTACAGCTCATGGGACAGATAGAATTTTAATAACAATTTATTAAATAATAACAATTATATTTGCTCATTTTTGTTTAAACTGTACAGACCAAGAGGCATTCAGGAAGGAAATAATCTCAATATGTAATATGATAACTAAGTCTACAATTCGATTATAACTAAATGATATATTTACATACAACAAAACCAACACTCAACATGACAAATACAAAATTAACATATATGTGGTTGGAAATACCCACCCCTAGCAGAAAGCTTTTTGGTGTTGATAATTTTGGCAGCATATTCTTGTCCAGTAGGGATTTTCATACATCTTCTCACCACTGAGAATGCCCCCCTGAAAACCAATAATTAGCAGGTCATCAGTATAATCAGCTCTGATAGTCTATTAAAAATTACAACAATCTGAGCATTTTTTTGACTTTAGTGAACAAATATCAGTGCACTACAGTAATAGCCAAAAAATGAAGAATTCTTCCTGGAAACCTAGACCTTCTTTAATGTTGAAGAATAAAAGTAAATTTTATTTAATTGGGAGCACACACTATTAATCAACAAAATGAAAGGAACTGCCAATTATGACGGCTCTTGTTTGCACACGAAATTTGAAAACATTCTACAATTCACACTCACACAGCACCAAATGCTCTGAGACAAAACCCTGCAAAGAGCAGAGGTGAGAAGGAGCAGCAAAAAATCCGCTGCCTATTTATTTTGGTAAGGAAAAAAATTAATGTGGCTCCAAGTTAAGTAAATATGGCGATTGTTTTCATTAAAATATAAATCTTGGGAACATTTGTGTGGTGTAACACATCCTGGTGGGGTGATCTCTCTGTGCCCTGTTTTGGGTTGGGGGAGGGGAGAGATTTGAATTAAGCTGCTCTTCCGACATATTCTCCATGTTTTAACAGCAAAGAACATATAAATATATAAGGATGTAATTTTCACTACATTTCTTTAATTCAATTGTACAAAACAACAACATACACATAAGCGCACCCCTTTCATAAGTAATAGTCGAAACTAGCGATAGAGGAATTGGGTTTGAAGCTACATAAATCAACATTCACGGCTCGGTCCCTAGGTCCCTTTGCACAGGTCCTCAGCAGGTCTCCTGACCCCTTCCTTAACATCTCCAAGTAGTTCTGCCAGTCGGGTGTAGGAGGTCGTTTTTCACAACACTAGGCTACCTTTGGGGAGCTCTCTCCCGGTCTCCAGAGGGCTTTTCCGCTGTCTGCAGAAATAAATCCTCGCAGAGAATGCGAAGATGCACCCGTAAATCCTACGAAGGATGATGACGAGCGAGTAATCTAACGTAAAGAATGACAGTGGATATGGGGCAGGGGGTCGGGTTCCTTTGGGTGGCCCTTTTCCTGGACAGAACAACTACTGGATGCGAAACAGACTCTAAGCCAAGTTGAACTTTCGGCATCAATAAACATGGCACCGTCTGTGGCAGCGAGTTCTCATCCGTACGTGGGTCCTACCGCCGACACGCCGGCTAACCAGGAGGCATCTCTATTTACAGAAAACATGATCTATGTGCATTTCACATGGGTTCTTGTTTCCTCTCCACACACACGCTCGCACACTTCTCAGCGTGACAGCTACAACTGCAGGTCTCGTAAATCCACTAAGTCTCTAGGGCAAAGGGCGGGGGAGCAGGAGAAGGTGGGCTGAGGATTATCGGAACCGGCTACAGCCGTGGTGGAGGGTCTGTCCCCTCCCCTTACTCTGATAGCACCTTCCTCCGAGCTGACACACCAGGGGCCCTCCTCCCTCTCCTCTGCCGCCCAAACTCCCTCGCCCCACGCGGGAGGCCGGTGGGTCGGGGGTAACGCGACCCGCCCTCTGCTGGAAAGGGGCCGTGCGGGTGCCCGGCAAAGGCGCTTACTTTCCGAGCTCCTCGAAGAGCTGATACTCGTCCGTGAACCTGGTGCACGTTGTAGTCGAGGCCATCTCGGTCCGGGCTGTGCCCCTGGCCGGGCGCGCGGCGGACGAGACGCGAGCGGGCGCGCGGCTTCCCCGGGACTGGCCCCGCGGCGCTGTCACCCAGGGCCGCCCGCAGTTTCCTCGGCCGAAAGTAGCTCGCCGGCGAGGGAGTGTGCGCAGGGGCGGGGCGGAGGGGAGATGACCAGAACGGGTGGCGTGGGGTCTCCTCCCCGCAGTCCGCCGAGCCGCCGCCTCCTCCGGGCCTCGCTTCCTTCTGCTCCTCTGCACGCTCCACCCGCCCCCTTTCCAGCCCCTCTCCCCAGATGCAGGGGGCCGAGCGCTCAAGAAGAGGGGCCCGGGGAACGGAACGCTGCCCGGCTCGGGGCGAGCAGTCGCGAAACGCTCCGCACCGGGGCAGGAGGGGCAGGGCGGAGGGGAGGGCGCCCGGGGGGCGGAGG